GAGCAAATAGAAACTATGGCAATATCATTTACTTTAGTGATCCCTCATTGACATTGATGACCTTGAAATCTGATGTCAGGAACATGGTTTCAAGTAACTTTTTCCCTATGCAGGTTGCCGATGTTCGACCTTGGTTTCCGAGATATTCGCAAAAATCTTTGGTAAATATTCACTTTAGGAGAGAGACAGCTTCGATTTCGATGGCCTTAAAAAATGTTGTCAAGGACAGTGTAAATAAATTCCGACTGTAAAAGATGAAAAGAAAAAGTAATTTTGCAATTACAATTTTGTAATTCTGATTACGTAGTTCCAATTTTATCATTCTAATTTTGTAATTCTAATGCACATAAAATTCTAAATTTTCTGAATCCTGTACGATTAAATAATCACAATCGGCCGTATTGTGTATTTAATTATACTATGAAATAATAAATATTCCTATGATTTGTATTCGACGAATTTCAAATAGTACAACATTTCTTATCCGTTAACTAATTAAATAAGAAAATGTTTTCTTATAATAATAAGTAAATAAGTAAGTAAATAAGGATCAAATTATAAATAGTAGATATTTCTGTAACTATACATATAATCCAATCGACACTGCGCTTTTGCAAGATATTTGTTCATTTAGTCGCTTTCTAATTAAATGAATAATTGAGTCTTCTGCCAGACTTGTCCGCAACGCTTTCAACGATCAAATAGACTAATAGAGAAATGTCTCCTGGCCTCGACTGCCCTAATAGCAGCCAAATGTCATAATTCACAGCAGCAACATGCTTCAACTCGACTGTCATACCCACAACATGAATTAGAGATATTAAAAACGTAAACAATTAATGCAGTACTATTTACTGTTTTGTGGAAATTAAAAGATTGTGAATAATTTACTCTTGCGAGATCAAGAAGTTGTCATTCGAAAGTCTAACAAATTTTTTATCGAAGTCCAATCCGATCAGATATTATTGTCCTGTATTAATCTTATTACCTTTTAATTAATAGTTTTAAGAAATAAGTATCGCAACATGTATTTGAGCAAATACACATACTTTGACTTCCTTTCTAATTGTAGCATAATTTTTCATACACTCGAGAATCTTGCAATTCCGCCGTAAAATTAATAAATTCACGTAATGCGTAAATGCATGAAATACGTATTACATAAATTGATTACGTAACGCGTAATGCAAAAGCTACTAACGGTTTTATTTTACATTTAAATTAATGATCCCCAAAACTGATAAGACAAATGTTCCATAAATCATGATTCTTATAAAATAATACACAAAATACGGGAATTATTGTAAGAGTTATTCGAATCGGTTGAGTGTAACGATCGCGAAATTATATTGCTTGGATAAACAATCGACACAGGAAATCGCGATGAGCAAAATCAAACACAATTACTCAAGAACTTTGTGCTTAAACGCTATTACAAAATCATTTTTCCGGAAACTCAAAGATCAGATAAAATTCAAAATCTTGGAATTTTTTTTCGCTACACATGTTTTGCTGTCTACTACTGTAGTTTCAATCTGTTATGATTTAGCTACAGTATTTTATACTATACTAAATAAAATTTTATCTACATTCTAGTAAGTCCTGCATTTTGCATAAAGCTCCGAAGTCTGATTATTATCATTTAAATTTGTCTAGTTTGTTTAAATTTTTTATAGATTATAATAAACATAATCAGTAAACTGTGTAACTCTTCAGTACCTCTTAAAGTAACTCTATTAACCAAACTCGATTGTTGTTCTATCAAATGATTACTATAAGATTACAAAATGTATATATATATATGTTTGTTAATATATATATATTATGTATGTATATATCGTTGTTGGCTATATATGAGAAAAATTTATTTTTTAATATTTTTAATAAATAAAACTTTTATCTTGTAATATATTCCCTTATGAATTTTGTAATTTTTTGCGAAAGTTATAAATATATAACTTTGTTCTCGAACCATACCAAATTACGTCAATTTGGATCAGTATACAGCTACAATTACAACAATTCCGACAATTTATTAATAATATGTTGTTATACGAGCCGGCAGGTATCCATTGTCTAACACGTAACAGTGCAGCCGTAAGAAAGTAGCAGAGGGAATCAGACCTCGTTCCGAATGAGCTAATGGCGAGTTCAAACCGAGTCATCGCTGGTATTGGAAGAATTTGTGATAGTCCAGCATAAAAAAGATCGCAAATTAATGATTCGAGTGCAGAGTACTTCAGACAGCTGTGATCAGTATAAATGGAATCATTTTCCTCGTATTCTATCACTGTTCGATTGATTGCACAACATACGATCATATTATTACCACGATTCTTCAGTTGTGTTACATTAAATTGAAATCATCTAAAACGAGTTTCTTCAGGGTATAATATTGGTTATTGTCACATATATGATATGAAAACAATTATTAATTATTGAACGTGTTTATCAGACGCGTACAGTAAATCAGAAAAGTCTCTGTATACTGTTTAAAATGAAGTACCTCCCTCTCTTTAAAAGTGAGACAACATTTCAAAGTGCATCAGACGACTTGTGCTTTTTTAACAACTTAGACGGATCAGTTTGTTACATGACGTGTAAACAAATTTTTTAAAGTTTGTAATTGATAAGAGTTATGGATAAAATTACGAACATTGCTATTTACAAATTGTTTATGTGATAATGAAAATGTATATTTTGTATATTTGAGAGTATAAATTTCGGCGAAATTGGATATCGTTGCTACGAGTTATAAATTCTTAAAAACAATGAAAATTATTGCACTTCTTCGCCATTTCCGGGATAAACATTAAATACTTGTCACTTGCTTTTGCGTCAACTGATTTCAATGAAATTCTCAGCATGCGCGCAACTAAAATAAATCTAAACGATTAAAGGAGACAATAGCAACCCTTAATATTTTTTTCGCAATTCCGACTGAATGTAATTTTCTCGAAAAACTAGTTGCGCACCAGCTAGTAAAATAACCCTTGTAACATAAAGCTCAACTAGTTTGAATCAATTTTTAAAAAATTCTGTTTCAGAAGATGCACAGAAACTTTTTTGACCAACTGTATATGCGTCTGTAGTCCATATCGATAATTTTCCCTGAACACATATATTCGTCCTTAGTACTGAAAAGGATAAACTTCAGAAACTTATTAACCTGTGAACGCGAGCGCAACGAATAGAGGAACATAAAGGATAGCTGAAACGAAGGCTTCAAATGGTTCCGAAAAGTAACTGTTAATAACTGTTATATAAAGATACTGGTTAAAACAGTTATTTACTGTTATGAAGGGTCGAAAATTCTGTTCATATCGGTTTCGGTTATGGTCCCTATCATTCTAACCATTCTACCGGTTCTAATTACAAGGTCGTTCTAGAAGCAAGACTAACACTAATTTCCCTATTGAACTTTTTCTGAAATGTAATGGTTTTACAAATTTTTCTGTATTATATTTATTATGATAAATTATACTGTTCAATATCGCAGGCCTTGACAGTTTTGATAATTTTTTCATATACTATTTACGGATTTCAGTCATTCTGTTAAAAACGTTATATTAAAACTAAATCTATCACACACTTCAGCCATTTTAACCATTTTCACATTGTTTATTTTAAGATTGTTGACATAATAAAGACTCTTATACAGTATAATAAAAATGGCGAAATATCTAAATGAATTCAGTCTTGCCATTCTTATAGAAAAACACACGTTAGTTAGTTTTAATGTTCGATAGATTTAGATTGATATCTGCGATCTAATTTAGAACACGTAATAAAACACAAACGTGTCGTGAAACAAAAGTGTATCCCACATCAAGGATGTATAATGTAGACTACAGAATTTTTATCAGTTTCCTCTATGAGTAAAATAATAAGTAAGATAACATAAATATTGTATGAATACTATAACATCGAGAAATATAATAAGTAGCATTAAGTAAAGCAAATATATTAGTAAGTGTATATAAATGTAATATTAATGTGTATTAAGTGAGATCAATTAAAATATAAAGAAACTACTTATAAAATGTTATTAGAATGGATAAAAAAAAACGGTGTGATGTACGGATATACTTTGAACATTGTGATAAGATGGGTAAGTTGTACAACTTAAAATTATTGTTACTCTCTCGTTTTGTATCTCACTTATCAAACTCAACATTGACGATTTTTTAAAACGATCCTACATCAACCACGTACAGCTTACACTGCTACAAGGGCCGATATAAAATCGAAAAAAAGCGGCCGTAGGACCGATATGAGAACTGATGTTAACAGAAATTTCGGTCTTTTATAACAGTGACTTAGAATATCGGCTCTTCATGACTAGACTGCGAACTTTCTGTATAATATTATTATTATATTATTATTTCTTATGAAGCAGTTGCCAGTTGGACGTTTATTTCTTCCTTTAACAATATTAACTCCTTGCACTACGATTTCTTTCACAGCTACGTTGATCAGCACTTCTTCGTCCTTAATAATTTGCCTGATAGTACGAGACAATTTTTGTTTCTTGTCTTCATCTACTTTCATCTCTACATTTTAATAAGAAAAAAAAACAAATTTTGTTTACATTTAGAAGAAATTAATAACATTCATATTTAGCAACTTATATATAATGTTAAAATATATATTATATTATATTAAAATATATAATATATATATATATATATATATATATATATAGTATATCATATATATATAGTGCATATATAGTGCATATATTATAGTGCAAGGGATTAATAAGTTAAGAATAATGTATCAACATTCTTGAACTCCTATCTTAAACTCCATCCTTAAATCTTTCTACTATTCCATATTTGTTCCACTAATTACTTTCATATATTACATAAAATCCACAGTCTATTCACGACTGTTCCAAGGACCGAGATCGAAATTATACCAGTTATCAAGCTCTTGGTTGCTGGAAGTCGGTGTTGATCGAAAGTAATAAAGGCATGATTTTGAGTCGGTATACTCACATTGTTGCTTGTGCCTGGATTCCATAAGGATCATTTGTTCGTGTTTGTGCCATGCAGCATCGGTAGTATCTGTCCCCGTCATACCCCTCGCAGCTGCAGAGGGTGGTTGGATACCCCCACGGCCCCCGCCGCCTCCGCCCCCGCCGCTTCCATACTCCATACCAGCGGCACCCTTACCCTTCCCTCCCACCCTTTCACTTCTGCCCACGGCAGCCTTCAGACGCTCACAACATGGGGCACGCCAGCCCTCTCAATACCGCTTCACAGCGCGAACCCTCTCTCTCCCTCTCTCTTTCCTTCTTTTGCCTCTTCTACACTTGCACACTGCCCCTCTCTTCCTCTTCCTTCCTTCCTTCTCTCTTTCTCTCTCTCTCTCTCTCTTTCCTTTCTCTTCGATTCTTCTCTTCCTAGGTGTTCTTTTTAACGGTCTCTATTTCTTCTCGCTTTCTACTCTCAATTAACACACCCTCGGCTTCACGACTTTTCCTTGGTCTTATCACTGTGCTTGTTCTTCTTCTTGTTCGCTGAGTTCTCTTCCTTTCTTCTTTTCTCACTTTGTATATTACTCTCGTTTGTACGATATCTTTCTGCCTTCCTTTTCCCCTCTCTCTCTCTCTCTCTCTCTCTTGTTCACTCGCTAGCTCTTTCTCTCACTCGTTTACTCTATTTCTCTCTCCCTCTCTCTCTCTTGCTCTCTCTATTTCTATCTTGACTCTCCGCGAAGACTTCCCAGTACATTCAAATCTATACTAAATCACTATTCCCGGATACGATTGCTCTAGCTGCAGAAGAAACACAGTTGAATTTTGGATAAAGAACGTGGAAACGAGACCCGTTAATCGTAACTCTGTATCCCTTCTTCTTCTTCTTCTTCTTCTTCTTCTTCTTCTATCGTCTTCTGTCGCCACTTCCCGTTCCTCGATTACCAAGTGGTACACCCCTTTCACGCGATCTTCTAGGAGAGAGAGGGAGAGAGAGAGAGAGTGAGAGAGAGAGAGAATGAGAGAGAGAAAGTCCTCTGAACCTTCTTCCGTTCAAGGACTTCTAAACGTCTTCTTGCTCGGTTCCCTTCGTTCCGGCGTAGATGTATCGCCTTTTCTCTCATACGAAAAATAACTCTTATTTACAGACACGCTGAGTCTTTTTTCTTTTTCACTCTCTCTCTCTCCCCCTTTTTATTACACGATCCACGAGTGCGTGTACCCGTTTTCGGTCACTCCTCTCTCGTCCGGTTCCTCTCGTTCGCGAGTTACTTCCCGTCCTTTCGATTAAACTTAGTTTAGTATCTCGCAAGGATGCAGCGACGGTTTCGCTCTCTTTTCTTCGCCTCCTTCCTTCCCTCTTTCCTTTCTATCGCTACAAGATGCTACGTCTCTTCTTGCTCCTCAAATTTTCCTTTCCGAAAGCAAAATCCCTCACTCGGTTTCACTATCAGCATCCATCATCCTCGATGCTGGTGTCTGCAACCAAAACGAGATAATCTTTGGTTAATTTCAGTGTCATCCGTACATAATTCATCGGCGCCTGTTACAATTCTGTAACAACTACTTCTGTCAGGCTCTCTCCAACCCCTTCTACTGTTCTTACACTTTGTTACTAGACTACGGATTTGAAAACGAGTAGATAAAATGCAGAATAGTAAAAACATATAATGAATTTAAAATACTGATACATTTTTTCTGCAATTAATGTCGACAATAAAATCCACAGTTTATTTATTACTTTCGAAATAAGTAGATCAAATATAAAATAGCAAAAACATTTAAAGAATTTGAAAATATTCTTACATTATTTTCTACTCATTAAAATTGTTGAGGTATGAAATACATGTCTGTCTATGTAGCTTCTGTATCTCGCATTTAGTGTCGACAATTTTTATTTTGCATGAAAATCCACAGTCTATTTATTACTCGCGAATTAACCAATCTCTCAGATGTCAGACATCCAAACGTATATCGCTTAAGCGACGGAATGATTGCTTAATGTGTAACAGTGCAGAAAAATCAATGTCTAAAATGCACTGAAATTGAGGAACGTGACGTAACATTGATCACACTATCAGTTCAAAAGTTCAGAGAGCGAAGAAGAAAAATACTCTACAAACTTAGTAAACTCTGCTTTGTAAATCTCGACAAACCAAAACTGTGCAAACACAAGGTATACAACTATGCTTGAAACCATTTACTTTGTTTTCTAAGTAATAATGACTTTCTTTTCATCCACTCTTTTACACTAAATTCAAGATAAATGTTTCCACATTTGATAATAAGTATATTAACGGAGCAGTGTGTCGATGTTCCCAAACAAATTCAAGAATATGAAAAGGTCTTCTATATCTTCGAACCCTTTGAACATCGGACAGAGGTGCGAGAACGCAAAAATAAATGCGAGATACAGAAGTATACATGCATAAAACCACGTGACGTTCATTAATTAATCAATAAAAATTAATTCGTCATAAATATTACGAATTTATGCAAAATACAAATCGAATCGAGACTGTAAATCTCATCGAATTTTTTCAAAAATGATTTTCTTGATACATATGCATAATTATAAATGAAATATTAATACGTGTGCTTATTTTTGCCTTCTTGATTATTAATCCATTATTGAAATAACAAGTTCTGTTCTTCATAAATAAGTATACAAAATGCCTGTCTATCATCAGATAACGAGACAAATACCAAGCATTATTGCAACATTCTTCTTATGGCTAATTTAAATATGGTCATTGTTCATGCAGTGAACTTTCTAAATATGTGGTCACAGGATATTGAAACGCAAACATTGGAAGGTTCTCGAACAATTTAATTTCCTAGCAGAGTATATTCGAGATAGAATAATTTAAATCCTTTAAAAATGAAACAAAATGTCCCAAGTTAATAATATGTTCGATATATACAAATTAGCAACAGCATAGAATCAATTTCATGTTGGGTCCCTAGTGATAATAATAATGGATGAAATAACTCCAGGTGATTATTACAAAAATATACTCTTCCTCGGTTAAGCGTACATTTGAAGCTTGTCTAATATCTTATAGACGGGGAGGGTAGCCATTTTGTAATTATCAGATCGGGCTTAGTCGAGCATGAACATAGATAAGAAAAGCAAGATAAACTCTGTACGGGACTCGTTGAACAATTTCCGGTACTTCAAAGCATGCCGACGTATCCTGTCGTTGTCTCAATTATTAATCCACAATAAGTTCTTTCTACTTCTCATTATATTTTTTCGAACCAATTATCGATATTCCAATCGAGTTCTCTTCATAACAAGTTTAAATCTTGTACTCCCATTGCACGTGATTCAATCTACTATGAAGGAAATGTATATTGAATATTCTGCATTTTGAAGACACATAATAATAAGTAAACAAATTTTATGTTTGATTAGTGATTAAAAACGTCAACATACTACGTAACAGCAGAAAAATGTATTTATATATTAAATATAACATAAAAAAAAATAAACAGAAATATTTGTATTACAATATTTATGAATTATTTGAATAAGCTTCTGATAATTATATTTAATTTCGCAATAAATGTATATACAAAATAATTTCAAATGTTAGCGAACTCCAATTAATTCAAATATATTTTGCACGAAGATTCATCGTTAAAAATAATTCAACCAAGTAAATTTGTAAATTCATATTTAATATTCGATCTTCAAATGTCATTATCCAACATTATAGTTTCGTAAAAATAACTTTTCTGCATATTCCTTTCCCTTTCCTGCCCATTTGCAACTTCTGAACTATTCAATTTGGACTAATTACAAATTTGTACAGGCCTCGCATTGTTATTCACCGTCAGCATGAAATCGTTAACCACTTCTACATTTCCCAGTGCAAACGTGTTCTATGAATGACGTTCAATGAACTTTTGATCAGATCGATATATGTATTTGTAAATAGTCTGACAAATGGAAGCTGAGTGTGAAACTGATACACGAGTGCTTATAATCTGGGAGAAATTTGTTACTACATGTTCATCCATCTTTAAACCTTACAAGACGGACGCGAAATTATCGGTGACGTATTCGGGAACCACGTATGTTGTCTAAATTACATCTGTGAATTTAATATTCATATTTTATGTCGCCGCATGTTCTTTTTGATAATGTATTTCACTATTTTTACCATACGAGGCATACGAGATTACTTTTAATACTTAACCATACTCGCGATTTCTTATATTAATCCTACGTTATTAAACGTATTTGTAAACACGATTAAAAGATAGAAGATAAAAACAAAACTCTAAAATTATCATATATTATTTAAGACAAACTTTGCTGATGATCATTGAATCCTTATTTTGTTCTCTAGATAATAAAGGTAAAAATTCTACGNGATTACTTTTAATACTTAACCATACTCGCGATTTCTTATATTAATCCTACGTTATTAAACGTATTTGTAAACACGATTAAAAGATAGAAGATAAAAACAAAACTCTAAAATTATCATATATTATTTAAGACAAACTTTGCTGATGATCATTGAATCCTTATTTTGTTCTCTAGATAATAAAGGTAAAAATTCTACG